CGCTCCTGAACGCGCCGTCGCTCAACAAGATGCTGACGACGACGCCGTCGTCGGCGCCGCCGGCGCCCGCGCTCATGCCGCCGCCGTCGATGCCGTCGTCGTCGTTCTTCCAGTTGCCGACAGTCTCGTTCCGGGACTCGCTCCTCAAGGTCGCGGACGAAGCGATCAACGTGTGCATCGAGTCGGTGCAGTACGGCGAGCAGCTCTTCAAGCAGCCCAAGGTGGCCAACATGAGCTACCTCGGCGTCACGGTCCAGTACGAGATGAACAAAGACCACATCCACATCTTCCTTCGCCACGTGCTGCCCGGCGCCAACCACATGGCCGTGAGCGACCGCGTCTGGGAGCTGATGACGTGCAAGAACTTCAACCAGGACTTTGGCTTTACCGAGGCGTACGAAGTCCTCGACGCGATCGACAATGACACCAAGTACATTCGTGCGATTTTGAACCTGACGCTCCCGAACCCGGACAAGAACGGCGCGACCAAGGTCAAGGCCGAGCGCCTCCACGCGGTCAAGCGCCGCGCGATGGCCAACTGCGTGTACATTGCATCGCGCAGTGTCCACGACGACCCGAGCTGGCCGCAAACGCCGTCGTACATTCGCCGCCATCAAAACATTGGGTACACTCCGACTGCTATATTTTGATATTTTGGCATTCATGAAAAACCGATCGCTAGCATCATGCTCCGTGACTGCATCGAGGACGGCCGCGCGGGCACCGAGGTCATGTGGTGCATCAAGGTGCATCTCGACCAGCACACGGACATGTCGGTGGCCGCCAACACGCCCGACACGATCCTGCGCAACCTCTTTGAAGTCACGCCGCCCTTCTTCAAGGCCATCTTGGACCGCGTGCAGCAGTCGTAATCGTCATCTCGTCGTACCTCACTTACTATTCCCTATTCAACACGAACGAGCACGAAGTACAGAGTTCTTATTGTGTATCGCATCGTTTCAGCCGCGATTGCTCGTGGGGCTAGGTGTGTTGGCCAGCGCAACCAGTGGTGCGACACGCCTCGGGTGCCGTGAGCTCGTGATTTTTGTCCGAGTCCGGTGGTGGTGGACGCATCGATCGATCTAGCGACAGGGCACGTCCTTGGGCGGACTATCAACCTTTGTCGTGGGCAAGCGCTCGCACGGCTTGATTACGCTCTGAATATGGGCGAGGTCGCGTCGAGTCTCTGGCGACAGCATCGTCGTCGTGTGCAGTAGCTGTCTTCGCAAGACTTGGCGGTGGAGATTCCGACCCAGTCGCCATCCCTCGATCGAGGCCCACTATTTTGGCCGCAAACAAGATGTATCTCCGCCGTCTTGTAGGATTTAGTGTTCGAAGGCAGACGCAGCATAAACGAGCGCAAGTTGGCGTCAAGTCGCCACCAATCTCGCCGCCCCGTCGATATCGAAGCGCGGGGGATGTGCCTCGTACTTGTAGCTTCGACTTTCTCGGGTACCGCGAAAGAGGAGACGACCCACTTTGCAATTTGCCTTGTTTCAATGACCCAGCCGCGCGTGCACCTCTTGTACTCGGACGACCGCGTGAAAGACCGGACCGACAACGTCTTCAAGAGCATGATCCACCAGCTTGCGCAAGACGACGAGGACGACCACAACACACAGCTCCTCAAACGCGCCCTCAAGTACCGCCAAAAGGAGATGCCGACCGGAGACGACACCAAGAAGGCCGAGGTCGCAGCCTGTTTTGGTGTCAAGTGGCACAAGGTGCCAAGCGACGACGTCGAGTAGAGCGCGCCGCGTTGTTAATTTAATGCATCCAACGAGATTGGAATCCATGTTGTGTGGATGATCTTCTCGGCTGAGATTGATTGCCCGACTCTGCTCGAACTTCGAAGGGCAAAGAAGCAGCACGCGATGATCCTCGTGCCCTCGTGACGGTTCCATCGCTGTTTTTGTCGGTCCGAAATGCCTCTACGATGCTATAACGCCATCAACTCCGGTTCTGTGGTGCATGCGATAGTTTCGCAAGTTGAAGCAAGTCGGTTTCATCGCGCCATGACGTGGCAGCGCCGTGTCGCAGCAAACCCAACTTAGATTCGGACCGTATCAGCGTGGTGACCGGTCGCGTGCGACAATAAATGCCAAGGGGTCTGTGCAAGCGCACGCCATGCGCCTGTATGGCGATGAACGTTCTTCTCGTCGTTGCAGCGCCTTCGTGCTGGCTCCACCCCGCCCACCAGCTCCACCGACCACCACAACCACCACGCCCTAACCTCACGCTACATTGCAGTACGCCAAAGTTACATACTACCAGGTACGACAGTAGTGTTATTCGGATGAAGATGCTGCGTGTGCCAGAGCTGTGTGCGAGATGCTATTCAAGTAGCTTTCCGAGCAGTGCCCAGAGCAAATCCCACTGCTTGCAGCGGCATCCTCCCAAGCCGGCGACAATGTAGGCACTTGAAGCCGTCGTACGGGTACTACGCGACAGAAGCGAGTTGCCGCTGTGCTTGATTACTGCCCACGGAATTTCACATCGACATGGCGCTTCCAACGGATCATTTTTTGATTTGCGCCAACCTCACAAGAGCATGTCGACACAAGTCGCGTCCCCGCGGTGCATTAGCCTCGTCTACTCGGACGAACTCGTGAAAGCTCGCACCGACCGTGTCTTTCGAAGCATGCTCCACCAGCTCTCCGAGAACGACGACGACGACCACAACACGCGTCTCCTCAAGAAGGCGCTGCAGTACCGGAAACGACCGCCGCACGTCAACGTCACCGTCTCGGACGACACGGAGGTCGCGTCGTGCTTTGGCGTTCGATGGCAAAAGATGTCGCCGTGAAGGCCGCCGCGCCGTGTACGTAGTCTACCTATAATGTACGAATAGTAAGTTAGTTGAATGTAAAAAGACGAGTGGTTCGCATCCATCATTGTCGTTAAACAGATGTACTACACAGACATACGCCAGCCGCAACGTGCCATGGGTATGCGTGGTGGCCCGCGCACTATCAATAGACGTCGATGCATACCAGTATAGTCAACTTCTTGGGCTGCTTGGACTGCCGAGCTAACGTCCATCCTCCCGGCTCCAAGTCAACACCAATGAGCGGGTGATTCGTCGGTCATTGCCAAGATTCAAGGGAAAGGATGAATTATTCTTGGGCTTGATTCTTAACTTTAAGCTCCTCGTGACAGCAACGCGGTCATATTAAAATCGCTGACGTTACTGAAGCACCTTACAAACCGCATGTGTGCCGACTTGATTTCGCCTTGCTGCTGCTGTTGGTGCGTTCGAAATTCCAATCGTTCTCGTCAGCTACACGTACGTCAGAATACAGTGTAGGGTTGCAGAACCCCGTGTTTCTCCTGCTCCATCCACGCACGGAAATGCCGAGCGAGCCAATCACATGCGTCAGATTTAACCCCGCAGGCGTCCCGAGACGGTCGCGCGAGTTACTCGGCCTTTCCGATTGTATATGACACTTGTTTTCTACCAAGCACCATCGCTGTGTACCAAGTCCAGTGCATGTGACCAGTCAAAAACAAGGTAGGATTCGCAGCTATAAACTATTCTCGGGAGGTTCGTATCTCTCCGGACGACCGTTGTTGCTTCCAGCTTCAAGTGGCTGGCTGCCCGACGAAAGTGCAGCGAATCAAATTGGCGGCCACCACACCGCTGGTAAGATGAGCCAATGAGTTCCATCCGACGAGATGTTTAACTCACCACACAACCTTACCTCCCGGCGTTGTGGCGGTGATCAAAAGAATCCATCCGGCCCCGGCCACCGTCGTCACAATGCTCGGATAAGAATAGACCGTGATCGAAGCTCTCCTGCTGACCCTCTTCCACGTTTTCAGACCTCAGTGACGAATCGAGTACACAGCGGATGACGCGCAAGCACCGGTGTGTCACGCCCGCTTGAGTGCAATGAATATCTTGTTTGATTGGTTAATAATGGATGAAAATTGACCAAGATACGCTTAGCCGCACTCTCATTGGCTACAACCAAAGTTGAAGTTCCATGCCCCACGTGGCAGGTCCACGAACAGCGAAGCCGTCGCTGCGGGGGGCGAGTGAGGCCCATGACCACACGCTGTGTAAAGTCCTTCATGGCGTCGCGATCGGCGGCAAAGCTGCGCAGGTTATTGAGGTCCTCAAGAGACGCCAGCGACCAGAGGTCGCGCATGGTGCGGCCTACCGGGTAATTAGCGAGGCGCCTTAGACGAGGCGAAGAATCGGGCAGCGGCAACGTTGGTTGGGACGTATTTCTTCAGGCGCAGCACGGTGCGTCGCAGGCGCTAGCGCAGGCGGGCAAGGATCTCGCTCAGTGGAGCGCGACGTCGGCGAGTGTGTTCGGGTGACAGATGACGAAAGCCGATGTTCAGCGTGTTCTTGTCGTTGGAAATCAAGTCGTTGGAAATCAAGGGGATAAAACAACTTGTTTAATTCCCTTGTTGGAAATATACGTGCGTTTTCCACCATCACCATGGGAAGGTGAGACGACACCGCTCGTTGGGCAAGTTGATTAGCTGATTGCGTCCCACAACCAGGGCCGACGTTGCTGTCGCAGATACCGGTATCTCCAGTGCGTCGCTCCAATCACCATATCTTCGTGATGGCAAGGAGATTATGTGACTGGAGAGGTCTATAATTGGTAGACATGGAGGATCTGGTCCGCACACCCACAATCTGGATGGTTGTGGACGCTCCAACCCCGAGTCCCCCAACCATGAAGGAGATTCGAGATATCACTTCTTGTTCGCCCATCTGTCCATCCTGCATCCCATTCGTGTTCTCCCAGGTCAAACCCAATGGGTCAAACCGAGTTTTGCCCACAGCGTTTGCATCCAGCGTTTTCACAACAGTATTTGCTGGCGCCGGTGGCCCACACCGGCGAGGTATAGGCGGCCCAGCTGCTGCACAAGCTGCCACGTGCGAGATTCGGCGGCCTTTGTCCCAAAAGCACCTTCGCGCCACTCGATCGTTGGCACTTTCCCTTATGGACAGCATTCAAGTGCGAGAAGCGTGCGACCGGCGCGCATGGGTCCGCGACGGCGACCGCAGCTCGTGCAAGGAGTGCATCAAGGGCTTCTCGGTCACGCGGCGGCGGCACCACTGCCGCGTCTGCGGCGACATTGTGTGTCATAGCTGCAGCGCGACGGTCTACCTCCTCAACACGACAAGCAACGTCGGGCGCGCGTGCCACAGCTGCGCGCGTCCGTCGCTCGACCACAGTCCGCCGCGCCGACGGTTTGCGCTGACGTCGGCGCCGTGGTGTGAGAGCAGCAGCAGCGCATGGCACGCCGACTGCGTCATTTGCCTCGACCCGTTCACGGCGCAGAGCGACGCGCATGTCGTGACGCTGCCGTGTCAGCACGCGTTCCATCGGCAATGCGCCGACCCGTGGCTGGCAACGCACGACGAGTGCCCAACATGCCGCCGCCCCCTTGCGCAGGATCGCACTGCGTTTTTAGAGTTTATTTTCTTCTAACTTACCATGTAATAATTTGACCATCTGGAGCCTCTTTCGCCAGTCAAGACACGAGATGTGTGTTGCTCAACGACCAAAAAGGGAACTATAAGTCCTTCGACTATCAGTGCCCGCGGCGAGTTCAAGTCTGGCAGCATCTGCATTGCGACCCTTAAACCACAAATGGCTCCCGTTTTAGAGCTTGGAGTGCTTGGTGACAATCGTCTTGTCGCGAAAAGCGAGCTCTTGCGACCCGTTAAGGACGAGGTGCCATTGCACGCGGGATTGGTGGCAAGAAAGGGCTTGTGCCATTTGCCCTTAATCAACCACGGTTGCCATTTTGTCAAAATCACTGGCGTTTTGATCACCTTCCAGTATCAACTTGATACAATACGAAGACGCGCTCTGCAGAGGCCAAATCGAATCACTGGATCAAATGGCGTCAACTTTCCACCTCATGTATAATTCCGGTGATACGTGGTGCCTACTCGCAGAGCCATCACAGGCGCAGACATCCACGGCATGGTCGGTCGGCTCCCCAAGCCACGTACAACGTGTCTGCCCACGTGTGGGCTTCCCGAGCCATTCTCTCACGTGCAGAAGTCCGAGCCCTTCTCTCCAATACGTCTCCATCGACCTCGCGCATGGCCTCATCGCTCGACATGCATGCCACTATCACGCACGGCGCCCGTGAAAGAGATGTCATTAATGATGTCCTCGGCGCCTTGAGCGCGGGCTCATTATCACTTCTCGGTAGCACGCTTTGCGCACTCAATTTTGTCAAAATGCGGCTGCTTTGGACGCGCGTTGGTTAGAGCTCCGAGTGATCGTAGCCAGCTTCCTCGGTGAAGTGCGGGCGGCCGACGAGCGGACGAAAGGTCTCGAGGCCTTCCACGATGTGCGACAAGAACATCTCGAGGATCCCATTGTCCATGATGTTGGTCATCTCTACAGAACGCACACCCATGAGAATTGACGACGTTTGGGAATATGCACCCGTGACGCGAAGGCGGCCGCGCGACGTTGGCTTAAAGACAATGCAGTGGCCGTCGCGTTCAGGGGGATCCAAAGTCGCACCGACCCAGTCCGCGAGCACAGGCACGAGGGGCGACGTCGGGGCCAGCCAAAAGAAGGCGAGCTTGTCGCGGCGAAAGTTCTTGGCGACCGCCTTCAAGTCAAACGCACTGGGGTCGCGTGGGATGTAGAGCACGCAGAGCTTGCTGTCGCCTGCGTCGAGGCAGTCGTTATCAAACGTCGCCGCCGTCGTCTCGGTGACGACAATAGGTGGCTTTCGTCTCGGCGTGTTTTCCTCGGGCGGTGGGAACGATGGCAGCGGCGACCATACGCCCACGTCCGACGTCAGCGCCTACGAGTACATAGGTAGTATATCAACAGAGCCTCTATGGGATCGGATGAGGGAGTACCTTGTTGAGAAACGCGGTCACTTGGCGCGCTGGCTTGGCGTCGGTGAGGGCCACATGCGTGTACCCATGCTCCGGGTGCACGTACACGAGGGCAGGCAAGTCGGCCTCTACCCAGCACGCTGCTTGAGCGAGCGAACGCAGGCAGAGGTACCGTCGAGGCCGAGGTGCTTGACGATCTTGGCTTCGCTGCCAGCGACAAACCCGAATTGCACCTACAACGAGACGTTTGCGCTGCTGTGTTTGCAGGCGGACGACGGACCAGAATCGATTTCTTATCGGGCGACACAAACGACAGCGCGACGTCATTGAGCCAGCGCGGCTAGGCGACGTGAGGCGATCCAAGAAGCAAGAGGAGGGTGTGTGCTGTACCTTCGCCTTCTCACCCTTCTTGCGCTTGTTGCGGCCAAAGAGGATCGCACTGGGTGTCTTGGGTGGTGCGGTGGCCAAGAACGAGTAGACGTCTTTGTATTGCAGGACCTGGACCGCCGCGTCGCTGGACGAGACGCCGAGCGCAGCGAGCGGCGACGCCTTGACGTGCTGCACGATCTCACGCGCGGTGCGCCCACCACGGTAGTCCTGGGGCTTGTTCTTGTTCTTGCCAAACTCTACGGATGGCATGTTGAGCCGAGCAGCGCTGCGATGCACACGACCTTTGATTGTCGGGTAGCCTTGGATGCCAAACTGCTGCGCGAGCTGCTCGTTCGAGGTGCAGTCGACAGCACCGAGCTTGGCCTACAGGATCGCGCATGAGCCGCCAGTGGACACCGCGTCGGCACCGTTGTCTTGAGCGTTTTGGCTGCCTTCTTCCACTCTGGTTCGAGCTGCTTGCAGTGGCCACACCTGGTCTCAGCGATCACACACGATGCTAGCACGTCGCCCTGTACCATGGCGCGTAAAACTCGACGAGCCAGTAGTCCGGGCTGTCGAGGACCTCCTTCTTGAAGGTCTTCTCCGTGAGCACGTGGACATGGGCGACGGCCATCGCATGGAGCGCGACGAGGAAGATCGCGGCCGCGAAGCGCATGCTGCCAAGTTGACCGCAAATCTTTGGTTGCCTCTTGAATTGGATATCTGCTGCAAGCACCGCTAGACTTGATATTCCCTGTCTTAATACATACAAGACCAGAATGCATACCATGATCTTGTGCTTTATGTCGCATTTGATAACCTTAAACCTCTCACAATGAATACCTGTGCTGTGTTGATAGACCCACACCATGGAGCGATCTGAGGCCGCCGAGATCCGGCTTGGCATATTCGCTTTCTTTGTGGTCGCAGGCTCATGGAATCGCTCTTCGGCATCGTTGGCAAGGACTTCGTCATCCTCGCGGCTGACTGCAAGGTCGCCCGCTCGATCCTCGTGTACAAGGACGACGAGGACAAGGTGCGTGCGCCTGCAGCGATCGGCCATGATGGCTCATGATATGCTGCTGGCGTAGATGCAAACGCTCGATTCGCACAAGATCATTGCGGGCGCCGGCCCCCAAGCCGACCGCGTCGAGTTCTGCGAGTATGTGCAGAAGAACATGAAGTTATACCAGCTCACACACGGCGTGACGCTGAACGGCCATGCGACGGCCAACTATGTGCGCGGCGAGCTCGCGCGCCGCCTCCGCAAGGCGCCGTGCCAGTTGAACGCGCTCCTTGGCGCCTGCGATGTCGAGACGCTCGACGGCGAGAAGAAGATCAACCCGAGCCTCTACTGGCTCGACTACCTCGGCGCGCTCGCCAAGGTCAACTATGGCGCGCAGGGCTACGGCGCACACTTTTGCCTCTCCATCATGGACCGCGAGTGGCACGAGAATCTGACGCTGCCCGAGGCGCTCAAGATCTTGAAGCACTGCGACAACGAACTCAACGAGCGCTTCTTGGTGCGCTCGGGCGAGTGGCTCTACAAGGTCATTGACGAGAACGGGATCCGCGACGTGACCTTGTAAGTTGTCCTCCTCTCCTGCCCCATCATGCGTCGTCAATCAACCCCCATGACGTGGTAAGCAAAATTAAACATTGGATATGGCTTCTACTTGCGGCGGTTGTACCGCGTCTTGGACTTGAACGAATTGACGCTCTTCTTGCCCTGCTTGCGCAAGTTCGTGATCTTCTCCTTGAAGACAAACTCGTCCTTCTTGCCACCGCGCGCCGCGCTCTCCGGGCGGGCCTTGGGCGCCGACGGCTTCTTGGCGCGCGTCATGTCTTCGTCAAAGCCGCCACGGGCCGCGCGCTGCTGCTGCATCTTCTCGCGCTTCTGACGCTTGAGCTCGTGGATCTCCGAGATCGACCGGTTGGCTACGTAGCATCATCGCATCATCAGCCCATGCCGTCGTATCTCGCAAGAGACAAAAACAATCCACGCACCAATCTCGCGCTTCTCTTCAATGGCCTTGCGCTTGGCGCTCTTGGCCGCGCCGGCCACATGCTGCGACGTAAACACCTTCTTGTCTACAAAGGCAAAGTCAGCCTCGTCGGCCATCGACAAACGCCAAAAAATCGACGTACTCTGCTCGGCGGCATCCTCGAGCAGCGCCTGCTCGCGCTCGCGGATCTCCGTCATGCGGCGCTTCTTGTGGTTGAGCGGGTGCTTCTTCTTGTCTTCGGCGGCTTCCATCTCGGCCAGCTTGGCCTGGCGCGCCTCCTCGGCGCGGTCCGACACGACCTTCTTTTCCTTCTCGTTCTGGAACCACGTACGGGCCGGGCGGCCGTGGATCTCGCTCTGGTGGCGAATGAGGTTGGTCGTCCGCGACGCTTCGCGCTCGGCTTCGCGCATGCGCTTCTCGAGCGTCTCTTCCTTCATGACGGACGAGACGTCTTCTTCCATCGCCTGGACGCGCGCACGCCATTGGTTGATGACAGCATCCGGGACGCTACGGCTCTTGACAAAGCCGTGGCAGTGACGCGCCACTTCCTTCATGATGAGACGGCGCGACTCGGACGTGAGCGTGACCGCACGGCCCTTCCGGCCGGCACGCGCCGTACGACCGACGCGGTGCACGTACGTCGTGACGTCCTTGGGCATCTGGTAGTTGATGACGGCGTGGACACCCTCGACGTCGATACCACGGGCGGCAATGTCGGTACAGAGGAGGATGTCGGCGCTGCCGTCGCGGAAGTTCTGCAGCGCCTGGAGACGCTCGCGCTGGTCGAGGTCACCGTGGAGCTCGGCGGCCTTGATGCCCGCGAGGCCGAAGAGGATCATCATGCGGTGGGCGTGCTTCTTGGTTTCCATAAACACGATCGTCTACCATAACAAATATATGAGCGGAGTGGTCGATCGCAAGAAAATCGAAGCGTTCGATCGAAGCGTTCGAAAAAAAATCGAAGCCTTCGAAAATATCAAGGTACGTACGTTGGTCTTGAAGGTACGCGTGCAGAGCGCGAGCAAGATGGCTTCGCGGTCCTCCTCGCGCGTCGGGCGGATGCGGACAAACTCCTGGACGAGGTTCTGCGCCATGTCGTAGAGCGGGTCCGTGCTGATGCGCACCGGCCGCTTCATCGAGAGCTTGATGAGCTCGTCGACCTTGGACGTGAGCGTCGCTGAGAAGAGCATCGTCTGGCGCGCAAGGGGGCACATGCCCACAAGCTCCTGGACCTCTTCCGTGAACCCGAGCTCGAGGAGGCGATCGGCTTCGTCGAGCACGAGGATCTCGAGGTCGTCCATGTGCACGCAGCGCGAGTTGCGCAAATGATCAATCATGCGGCCCGGCGTGCAAATGACGACATCCGGGAGCTTCCGGAGCTCGGCTTCCTGCTCGCGCAGCGGGAGACCGCCGACGGCGAGCGCCGACGTCACGTCCGTAAACTTGCCGAGCTGCTCGAGCACGGACTGACACTGCGTCGCGAGCTCACGCACGGGGCAGATGATGAGGACGCGTGTGGCCGCGGCCTTGCGCGAGCGGAACTGGAGGCGCTCAAGGATCGGGAGCAAGAACGCAGCCGTCTTACCCGACCCCGTCTGCGCACTGGCGCAAATGTCCTTGCCGGACAGCGCAACAGGAATCGCGCGCTGCTGGATCGGCGTCGGCTTCTCGAAACCGAGCGACGTGACGGCGCGGACCAGCGCACGGCTGAGCTTGAGGTCGCTGAACGTCTTGAGGTCGTCCGGCGACGCCTTCTTGAAGACGTCGTTGTTGTCATCGAAGAATGCCGCCGCTTTCTTCTTTTCAATCTCGTCCACGTGGTCGGACGAGCCTTGCGCGGCCTTGCGCTCCGCAAGCGCCTCCTGCAGCCGGGCTTCTTCGACGACATCGTCGTTCTCCGAGTCATCGTCGTCGTCGTCTTCCGAGTCGTTGACGTCCTTTTCCAGCACCTCCTTGGGCGCCTTCTTGGCAGGCTCGTCGTTCTCCGAGTCGTCGTCGTCGGCCTCTTCGCCCGCGGCCTGCGCCGCCTTGCGCTTCTCGCGGCGCTCGGCCTGGCGTTCCTTCCGGCGCAGCTCAATTTTCTTTTGGATCGTCGACCGGACGCTTTCACCGTAGACGCGGCGCTCCATGTCATCGATCTGCGCAATGGCCTCTACAGTGCAACATCAGTTGTCGCATTCGTTGACAGGATCAAGGATCGCGTACTGGTAAAGTCCCACGAGCAGCCGGCGGGGCCCTAATAGAGCGCAGGACGTGAGATGGCCATGAAGGACCATCAACGATTACCTTGAAGCTCGAGTCGTCGTCAAACTGGAAGCTCTCGCTGATCTCGCTCACCGCCGCCTTCTTCTTTTGCTGCGCCTGCTTGGACTGGAGCTTCTTCTTCTTACTCTACGACCCAGCATGTGGGCTGCGTGCCATTGGATGTTGACTGGTTACCTTGGAGATGACGGCCAATTCTTGCTCCTTGGCTTCTTCTTCGTCACTGCTCGAATCAAGCACTTCAATCTAACAGTGGGATTGCACATGAGATCATGGGATCTACGGTGCATGTACCTCGTCGTCCGACATGATGGTCATCATCAAGGCGTCATCTTGAGGGGCGGCCATGGGTACAGAAGAGAACGCTTGGGCGGATGCTGCAAGGGTTTCTTAGTGTGGTCCCGTTTTCACGAAAATGATTGGATTGGACAGCGCCCCCTGTGATTGGTCCTTTGCCACAAGGGTACATGTCAACGTACGTACGCTCCGTACATTTCAAAATTCACCGTTATTTTGAATGTACGGTACGTTGTACGCTGTCGTACATCGTACAGGAATTCCGTACAAGTTGATTGGGTGTTGGCCAGCAATTCTATAAACAGGTTTGTCATGCGGCGTCATTAAAATCACAAGCGTTATGTATGCAAGATGGACCACATTCAATGCAACTTATATTAATATACATGTCGGCGCGCTTTAAAAATTACGCTCGGAGCGATCCATTGTTGCCATCCCCCGCCAAGCAAGATGAGTCGTCCCGAGCATGTGATGCCTCCGGAGGTAAAGTTCCATGCGCCACGCCTCAACGAAGCCTCATCCGATGCATCTCTAGCTCTTCTACAATGAGAAGGAGGCTGCCAAGTACAACTCGAGCTCGCGCATCATCAAAATTCAGGTAGCCATTCATCTCGGACGGCGGCCGTCACGACTTTGCCGTACTAGAACGACATCGCCAACCGAGCGATTGAGCTTTTGAACCTCCCGGAAGACAAGGAAGCGTTCATCCTCGATGTGGGCTGCGGCAGTGGCCTTAGCGGCCGTACGTCGTCCTTTCTATTCTCGTCGCCTCATCTCGACGTTGTAGTCGCGCTCCAGGAACACGGCCATGCGTGGGTCGGCTGCGACATCAGGTACTGTGGTCGATCTTCGTCGTGGAGTAAAATCTTATGCGATGCATTCTAGTAAGGACATGCTCGACATTGCGGCCGAGCGCGATAGCAGTGGCGACGTGTTTCTCCAAGACATGGGCTGTGGCCTCCCGTTCCGTCCCGGTGTCTTTGACGGCTGCATCAGTATCTCGGCCGTGCAGTGGCTCTGCTACTCGGACAAGAAGGAGCACACGGCGCGAAAGCGCCTCACGCGCTTCTTCTCGTCGCTCTACACGTGTTTGAAGCGCGGCGGCCGCGCGGTCATCCAGCTCTACCCCGAGACGCCCGAGCAAATGGAAGAGATCTCGGGCTGCGCGATGAAGTCGGGCTTCTCGGGTGGTCTCGTGATCGACTTTCCCAACAGGTACCACGTTCCTTTCATGACGCGCCGTCGTCATCCTACATCTATGTAGTGCCAAGGCCAAGAAGTACTTTTTGTGCCTCTTTGCGGGCCACGACCCGACGGTCAAGCCGACGGCGATGCCCAAGGCGTTGACGGGCGACCCGAATACGGCGGCGTTTGAGGCGCGCCGTGAGAAGAACGTCCGTCGCTCCGTACCTTTGCGATAAACTCTCACAGCGAATGCGTAGAAGAAGGCTCGACGCGGCAACCGAGACATGCCCAAGAATCGGTATGTAGAGCCAAGCGCACGTTCTTCGATGGCTCAATTCATTGTAGCGACTGGGTCATGGCCAAGAAGGACCGGTACCGCAAGCAGGGCAAGGAGGTCAAGAACGACAGTAAATTCACGGCCCGTCGGCGTCCGTCCGGCTTTTAAGCATGCTGCGACTGCTGCTACTTGTATCAGATTTCTTGCTTTCACAGTGTCAGTTTGTTTTGTGACGAGTCGAAAAGAGTTTTAGGTTAGCTACCGTATTTGTCTTCCTTTCGTACGGTAGAACGATTATGGTGATAGCTTTCAAGACACAGACTTTACTGCAAGCTCTCGCACCGGTTTGTTTAGGGCCAAGAGGGAACTGCAATTCTGCAATGCCGGTCGCTTGGCTGCCTTGTCCATCACAATCAGGATTCTGTTGACATCTTGTACTCTGTCATCATGCGTTGTACTGCTCTGTTATAAGATGTTGATGCAATCGAAATGATATTTAGTGTTGCGAATTGATTTGATTCATGTGATTAGAATAAGTTAAAAGGCATGGTGGTTTTGCTCGGAGTAAAGGTCTCGACACCCAGGGCTACTACCCCCGTTCAGAAACTCTAGTCTGAAATGAAAAATTTGGATCGTCATAGCAAAACCCACAATCTACATTCTACTACAGGCGAGGTTCGAAAGATCAGTAATCCTTGTAATGTGCATCAAGATGGAAATCAGACCCGAAAGATGGTTATTTTGTAGGAATTCATCATATCGGACGCTCGCCTCTGTCACTACTCAGCTAACTAGATTTGTTTTCTGCTCAGACAGCCAAGGGTTATCTCGACAATCGGGGCTACTACCCCCCGTTCAGAAACTCTAGTCTGAAAACACTTTAAAATCATCACCGCAGAAATGGTTCCTAGCCTACTTGCCGCCATTGTGGCGCTCGATGCAAAATCCGAAAGTGAGATTCGAGGTGTGGGATGCGCGCAACCGGCAACGACCACCCACCATCCGTTCTGCTGGCCACTCGTTGGACCGCGTCTCTCTGTATCCGGCTATTTCCGGATAACGTTGAAACGCCTTCGCGCGCTTTTCCACACGGCTGGCGTCAACGTTGGCGCGTCGACCCCTGCAGCTTCCGACGAGAAGCGCTCTCCGTCTTGCGTAATGCTATCGATATGGTATATTCTAGTAGCTAATAACTGGTGTACAATATGGTGGGGACTGCGACTTTGCCAGAGACAGACTCTTCAGCGGACTCGTTCCGCTACAGAGATCGCGAGAGAAAGCAGACGCCATGGTAGCACCAAGGCCATATTACGTACGTGAATGTTATGGCCTTGTAGTACTAGAGAGCATCGCATGAAAGAGGTGGGATGTATGGACGTCACTAGCCAATCAGTCACAACTCGTCAAGGAGTCAAGGAGCTGCTGCATCGAGCCTTGCGTCGAGAGCAGTCCCGTCACCAGTAACAGTTCGGTAGAGCATGGCGCGGCTTGTCCTTATTGCTGCGGCTGCTTTCATCGTCCAACAAGACAACGAGCTTGCTGGAGTAAGAACTTCTTCACGTCGCTTCTGCGGGCGCGCTTCCTGCGCCGGAGGCCTGGCTGACTGTTCTATAGGTACTACTGTACACGAGCCGCCGCCACTTGCATGTTTTCTATTTCACGTCATACAACAAGAAGCCCTCTACAGCGACGAGTCCGAGAGCGTGAGCAAGTCCGAGTGCAGCTCGCGCAGCGCGTCAAAGCTCATGCCGGCTTGGACATACTCGTGGAGAACGCGGCGGTCGATCGTCTGCACGCCATGCGCGAGGCCACTCAGATACTTGGGGATCGCGTCCGTGATCATGACCGCCGAGAGACACGCCGGCGACGCCATCGAAGCAAAGACGGGTGCTTCGGGCAGTGCGACCGAGGGACGCTGGAGTGTCACGAGGTGGCAAAAGTCGAACGGCGCCTTGAGCTGCCACGTCGGCATCGTCACGCCGGCAAACGCACGGGGGTCGCCGCGCAGCGTCAGGAGCTGCAAATGGTACTGACGCGACCGCGTCCACGATGGATCTTGCACGCCAATCGGCAGCAGCGACGCGGCCTCGAGGAGCGCCAAGCGGGTGGCGCCACTTTGCTGGAAAAAGTCGGTCGGCGGATCCAAGAGGCAAGCGAGTTCCATGACCTTCATGCTGCGCCGCAGCGGAAAGGCGACGTTGCGCATCTGCATGTTGGAAGTGCGCGGGAAGCGGTAGGGCGCCGACATGACGTCCCAGGCCGCGGCCGTCAGCAGCGGCCCGTCGGTCGACGCCAACGACAACGTTGAAAATGAGCCTCTTGCGTCGCCGGACGTGGCCAGTGGGAAGAAGACGTCCGAGAGCTCGTGCAGATGAAGGATCGAGGACGCCATGTTGATGGCGCGGCGGCCGTCGTGCTTGGCTTGGTCAAAGAGGCCAACCTGCGGTACGAGCGGGTACCTAGATGGATGCTTACGGAAGCGCAGATGTCGAGATATACCGCTCGTCGAGGCCGGCGCACATGACAAAGGCCGAGGGACACTCTTCGCGGAGCTCGCGCAGGACTTCTGTCGCAAAGCCACCCCAGGTCGAGTCGACGTCCACAAAGCATTGGACGCCCTGCGCAATGGGTTAGGACAGAAGAATCCGATCATCCGTAGCGACTACCTGGATCGAGTCGCACGCTTCGAGTGACTGGCGCACGTGGTCTTGCGCGGCTTCAAGCGTCTCGCGGCGCAGCTTGCCATCGCCCGAGAGCAGACCGTCGTAGTAGTTGTTCATCGGATCAAACGACCGAAACTCGGCGACCTCGACGACCGAGCGCGGGTGCAAGACCGACGTTGGCACCGCGGCCTCGCCGTCGCCGTCGTCGTCTTGGGCGACGGTCTTGACGCCACCATCCCACGCGCTCACCTCGTGGTCCT